TGTGAATTGCTTGAGGACAAGCAATGATTTAAGTGTGGGGGAGTTTGATAAGTGACTAATTTACGTAATAATTGTATGATATTTTATATTATTTTTAGTCACTTTGGTTATATTATTGGAAGAATATGAATCATTTTGGCTATAATTGGTGAAAAATGCTTTTAAGTGATTAAATGAGGTTTTTATCACTTTTTACTTGGATTTTGTGTATTTTGACAGTTTTGACACATTTTCGTATTTCGGCTATAACTTGAGCTACAATGATCGGATTAAGATGATTCTTGAACCAATTTGAAGATAAGAGATAGATCTACAACTTTGGTGAAGACATCTAAATCCAGTTTGAAGGTTTTCCAGGTCAAAATGCCGAATTACAATAGCAAATTTCTACTGGTCGAAACTGGAACAAGGCATGGAGCAGGCAAGGGTATTTCAGTCATATCTCAGCCTACACAGATCCAAATGAGGTGATTCTTGATGCATTGGAAAGATAAGTCAAAAGGCTACAACTTTCGTGTTTTAGACATGAGCTGGTTCAGCCTCTAACATCAAGAAAAGATCGGTTGAAGTTGGACCAAAAACAGAGCAAGTGATCCACACTCGGATCCACTATTCATCCGAACCCTCGGCTGTTTCTGGGTTAGTGGAACCGAGCTCGGATCCATACGGATCCAAGGCACTGTAGCACCTCGGATCACTGTAGCAGCCCAGATTTACTGTAGCAATCCGGCCGGAATTTGGCCGGATTTGTGGCCGGATTCCTGGCCGGATTGTGGTCAGAGAAGTCTGCTTTTTACGCGGAAAACTCAATTTCACCTCCACCAACTCACATGGGATGCTAGACATGTGAGAAACATTACCAACTGTAAGGAGAAAGTGTAAAGCTTCATTTCTTGACCATTTTCATCATTAAAAAGAGCCAAATTCATTGGAAGAAAGAAAAAAGAGGAGATAGAGCAAAAGGAGATGGAGTTCATAGCAGAAAAATAGGGAGAGACATACGGGAGAAGCTTGGAGTCTGCAGAAATGTAGCTCTTTCATCTTCCTAGTGTTAGTTTAGCTTAGTATAGAGTAGTATAGTTCAACCATTCTTGTTTATTATCTAGATTAGGATGAAGATGGAGGATGAAGAAGGCAAGGAAGAAAGCTCATGTGACAAGGGTTGTATTCCTTCCAAACTCTTTATCTTTTGTATTTGATTCCAAGTTTAGTTAATATACAAGTTCTGGATTTTGTGTTTAATATGTGTATCTAAAGTTTAAGCCTTGGGTTTGGTTGAACTTTCTATAATTGTTAGTGTTTATTATTTGGTTATTTGACTGCTATGATTTGAGCAAGTTATTTAGCACTTTGGCTCTTGAAATCATGATTAATCTGGTACCATTAATTGTGATTATCTAAGGTGTTGTTTCTGCAATGAAAATTGAGATTTAACACTAGTTCAAGAAGTGCTAAACATAGGGAGTACACTCACGAAAGTAGAGGTGCACTTATGTGGTTTTTAGTGATTCATTTCATGTAATTTCATTGAAAAAATGAACTTGTAGCTAATTTCATAACCATGAAAATAGGTATGGATTAGTTATGAGTATAGTTGATTCACTACGAAAGTAGGTTTCACATGTTTAAGAAAATTACACCATAATTAGCTTAGATGTAGTATTCAATGATCCAAATATAGCACTTGCATGAGTAGTTAGGGATACCACAACCTAAGAAGCTTTCATTTGCTATTTTCTTGTATAATTTCAGTGGGTTAAATTTGTTATAATTCATTGATAGTCTAAATAATAGAGAAGCTTTAGTAGTACCGGTAATTGCAATCTTCCTTGTGGGATCGACCCTTAATACCCTATACTCGCTCACGATTCGTATACTTGCGATAAATCGCGTGTGGGGTGTTTAGGAGTTTATAAATGTAAAACTTGATTAGAATGAGGTTAAATTGATATGTATACCCTGCGCACGTCACTTGTGTCGGGTCTGCCTGACGTCCCCAAAAGCCGATTGGAGAGAGAACTTACCAGATGTCGTGGGCATCCAAAAGACTTCAACTTCCCTCCCTTCCTCTGGTACCGGGTGTGCCAAAATGGAAGTAAGTTTCTCGCTTGGCATCGTCGAATGTAAGAGATTTATATTCCAGTGACCATTGGTGATAAAATTTTGGAATGACAAATTTGGGATAACTTTTGCATGTAGAAATAACGCACCACTTCCCAACCAGTTGTCATACCAAAAATGACAAGCTCCATCCCATAACATTGAGAGCTCCACTTGTCTACTTACGTTGATCATCCTTCTCCAGATTGCCGAGTCCGTTGTTCTGAGTTCGATCTGACAAGGATGAAGGCTTCCGCAATATTTTGCTTTCATGAACGATGCCCACAAGGATGATCCTGTTCGGAAATTCCACCAAAGCTTGCATGAAAAAGCTTGATATACGTCTCGTAGTCTCCGGAATCCGACTCCCCCTTCCTCAACCGGGTAACACATGTGAGACCATCGTATCCAGTGGAATTTCGAGTCGTCGGTTGATAATCTCCACAGGAAGTTCGAGCACGAACTTTCTATAATTTTGAACACCTTGGCCGGGATCACAGCAGCTGACATTAGATGCATTGGCATAGAAGCCAACACGTGCTTGATTAGAACTATTTTGCCTCCAGAGGAAAGCAGCCTTGATTTCCATGACAAAATCCTCCCTAGAATAGACTGACACACTTCTCCAAAATATGAAGATTTGCATCTTCCAGAATAAAGAGGGAATCCCAAATAACGTATCGGAAATGACTGCCAGGCAAACCCAGTGATACGTTCAATCACCCTTCGTCTCGCCGGTGGCATCGATGGGTGGACCAAATAACAGCTTTTTTGCACATTTATGAGTTGCCCTGAACACCTTTGATATGCCTGTAACACCTGCATGATTGCCTTCAGAGAAGACGAGGATCCATTTGCGAATATAAGAACATCATCCGCAAATGCCAAGTGAGTAATAGTCGGACACCGATATGGAACTTTGAAACCCAGGAACCTCGATTGCATGGTGAGGTTATTCAGTCCTCTAGACAAAACCTCAGATCCTATAATGAATAATGCAGGAGATAATGGGTCTCCCTGACGAAGACCTCTCGAAGACTTGAAGAAACCGTAGGAGGAACCATTTATAATGATTGAAAACCAGACATTAGAGAGTAACCACCATATAAGGTCAATAAATATTTTCCCGAATCCAAACCTCCTTAGAATATTAATAATATGGCCCCATGACATCCGGTCATATGCCTTGGACATGTCTAGTTTCATTAAAACATTTCCACCTCTATTCTTTTTCCCCATGCTTGATACCATCTCTTGAGCTAGTAGAAAATTTTCAGTTATATTGCGGCCCTTCACAAAACCTGTCTGATGTGGGGAAATGATTTTTGGTAGTAAACAAGCCATCCTGTCTGTCAAAATCCGAGATAACACTTTATTGAAAAAATTGCATAGACTGATAGGCCTGAATTGAGAGAATTCCTGAGGATTTGGCGTCTTTGGAATTAGTATAATTGAAGTAGAAGTGATGAATTGTGGTAGCTCCGCCCCATAGAAGAAGCTCAGTACCGCATTGTAAACATCTTGAGCGATCACTTCCCAAGCAAATGTAAAAAATTTGCCTGTAAAACCGTCTGGGCCAGCTGCACTTTCTCCATCCATTAACTTTATGACTCCATATACCTCCTCAATTGAAGGTAATGCTTCCAGTTTTCCATTATCCTCTTCCGTAACCAAGTGCGGAATTAAATGTAGCATATCAGTAGATGATTCCAAAGAGCCCGTGAAAAGATCATTGAAATATGCCGTTGCCTCACTTGCTATATCATCGTCCTTTTCCACCCACTCACCAGTGGACTTTTTGATGCGGTGTATCATTCCTTGAGCTCTTCTCTGCCTTACTACCGCATGAAAATATCTTGTATTCCTATCTCCATGACGAAGCCATTTGACCCTGGCCTTCTGTCTCCAATACTGTTCTTCAATTGACATTGAATACCGCAATTCTGCTTGTGCCTTATTAAGCTCAATTTGACACTCTTCGGAATAATCGTGGTCTAGCAACTCCTCAGCTCGTTGAACCGCCATTTCTGAAGAACGGACAGCGTCAAAAACATTCCCAAAATGTTGCTTGTTCCATGATTGAATAGCTCTCCTTGTTGCCAATAATTTAGAACACAATACGCGTAGCGGAGGCCCACCCACATCTTGTTTCCAAACATGGCGAATCACTTCCAAGAGATCTGGTTTGGAAGTCCAAACATTCAGAAATCGGAACGGCCGAGGTTTGTTATCTGACCGAGTTACAAAAGAAACCTTCAATGGTGCATGATCGGAGGGATGTCTTGCCAAGTGAAGTACCGAAATGTCATTTGAAAAATCCAAACAAGGTCCATTGACTAAAAATCTGTCCAACCTTTTTGAAATCCGAGCTCTACTCCGTCGATTATTAGACCATGTGAAAACTAGAGACAGTTATTACTTAAATTAAGAACAAATCTAATCTTTGTACACCGAAATAATCTTTTTCTCACTTGCAAGTTGGCAAAAGACAAACGAGCAGACAAGAAAAGTTCTTATCATGTTACAATAGCACATCTTCTGTGATGTTCGGCAAGCATTTTCATCCATTAACATCGAAATACTAAGAAAGGAAAGAAAGAGAAAGGGTGCCCTGCCATGATTTTAGAGGGACCGGACAAAATTAAAAGCACAGTACTTCAATATTCGTCACCGCTGGAGAGTACTTTTGTGTTTTTGGAATTCTCGTATCAGTAAACTCTAATCCTTTAAAAACACTCAAGAGATCATTCCTTAACAATGTCACAATGGAAGTTTTTTGAGCACGTAACACGAGGAATGCCTGTCTTTTTTAAGCTATAAATTAGTTTAAACAGGAACCTTGATTATAATAAAATATAAGCAAAGGCTGGAAGAATTGAATATATCGGCCTAGTACTGTGATGGCTCAGCATGATATCGAGGCTGGTAAGATGCAGAGCATGGAAGAGATGCTAAAAATTAAGAGCGGAAAAAATACCGAGGGTGGTGAGTCATCGAGCAAGGCAGAGGCGCCTGCTGAGAGGGTGACCAAGGAAGAGCTGCTTAAAACTATGAGTGAAAAAAATATCGAGCTGCCTTCCGGGTTGGTGACCGACGAAGAGAAGCGTAAAATTAAGAAGATGTACGGTAAGAATTAATCATTTGGTGCTTTTTGGTATATATTAAATCAGGGCTTAATTAAGTTATATTACTTTATATAGCTTTATGTCAAAGTTCTATATCCTATTTAATTTGGGTGATTGGAAAGTTTTGGTTTGAGTCTATGCCGCACTGGATTCATAACCCTGTGCTCTTAGTTTCTCGTACTAAATTTTGTATGCTTTTCAAACACGGTTTAAGAAAATTAGATTAGAAGCCAATGGGTTGGTTTAGCTAGCTGAGACTCAGTTTACCTTGGGGAAGGAAAGTTCGAATTCTAATCCCACAATAAGTAGCCTACATTAGTTGGCAATGTATAAAAACCATTATAAAACCTTGCAAATTTTGGTAATCGTGACATTGGAGTAATCTTCCCCTCCTACACTTAAAAAAAAATCTTCACGAGCTAATTAAGTTGAAAATATGTATGTATTACATATATCTTGTGCATTATTGATGTGGTGAATAAAAGAAAAAATTGTTCAAAATCTTCTTTAGACCAACTACAATAGTAAACAAGTTAGGTTGGACAATTTAGTTGAATTCAAGTTCCACAAAAATATGCATCTAGCTTTGGAGAAATATGGGTTCAGCCCTAGTCAAGCCAGCCTACAAGTCATTTCAGTTATAAGTATTCAAACCTTAATTTTGTAAAAGTTTTTAAGAGTAATAAAATAGTGCACAAATATTTGTATAACTTTTGGGTAGTTCCATGTTGATGCATAAATTTTGGGCTTCTTATACTTACAACAATTTTATATTGAGTGCGAGTATGGTTAGAAATCTTATGGTTAAACTTAGAAGTTAAGTTGTGTTATGAAAGTTTTAAAAAAATAATAATCAGAATAACATAAATGTTCCGCATTATTAGTATTATTATTAATAGAAACTATATGATATGGGGATGTAATGGCATGATTATTTTGATACGATTACTGTTTTTATTACGAGTCCCTTCTGAATCCATCTGAATCTGCTAGACGCCGCCAATTTGGAGGCATTAAGCTCAGGAGGACCGGAGCATCGGGAACAGCAAATTACTAAGGCTGATTCAGCCAATGTCGCAGAACTATACAAAGCAGCAATGAAAGGAAAATGGAAAGATGCTAAAGCCATATTTCGCAGGAATGAAAATGCAAAGACCACAAAAATATCCAACCTTGGCATGACAGCCCTTCATGTGGCGGCGAGCTGTGGGCAGTCGGACTTTGTGGTGCAAATAGTCAAGACACTAACTAAGAAGCAGCTTGAAGCCACCGACCAAGTTGGCCGCACTGCTCTTCATTATGTGGCCTTAGCTGCAAATGCGGAGGCCGCCGAAGCAATGGTGAAGAAGAATCCAGATTTGCCTCACCTTGGGGATTTACAAAACCTCACTCCCCTCTTCTATGCTGCTAAATGGCGACATCCAGAACAAAGCCAGGAAATGGTGTATTACCTCCACCTAGTTACTGAGGAGAGAGAACCTTGTTACCCCTTCACGGGTGATTCAGCTGCCGATCTCATTATAGCAATGACTGCTTCGGGGTCCTATGGTAAGCCCATATAGGATAAATTCCATGTCGAACATTTTCTTTGCTTTTCTTTAAATCTTTAAAAAGAAAAAAAGTCTAAACTTAAGTACTACAATTTAGTGAATTAAAACTCCAAGTGAAGCTTATGGAATCAACGCAAAATATTAAGAAGCTTATGTGGGAACAAAAACGTTAATTCATAAGTAAAATTCTTAGAACTCTAGAATTTGAATAGGGAAAAACATAAATTTCTCAAAGTTGGGAGTGGTTACCCTCTCTGTTCCATAATTGCTTCTGAAGTAAGAAAGATTTTTGCAAATGCTTAATGTCTGAGTTGAATTCTTTCAAACCAACTGTACTAATGATTATAGATTTCTTTTGCAGATACAGCCTTGTGTACGCTCAGGAGATATCCTCAATTAGCTCTTCGAACAAATGATCAAAGAATGTCCGTACTTCATGCACTTGCAATGCAGCCTTTAGCGTTTCGGAGTGGACATAAACTTTCTATATGGGAATCCTGCATCTATGAATGTAAGTGCTCTCTAAAATAAGGAAAAAAAAAACTTGCAGTTCCATCCTGAGATTTTTTAGTTCATGTATAGTATATTCTAGAAATTTTTATATTGTGTTACTTTGACAAACAAATTTCTACTTGAATCTATGTTTAGTTAAAGTAAGAATTCTGTTTAAAATGGAATAAGTATTTTGAAGATGAAAACAGATTGAATTACCTTTACCTTTCTTTATATAAGTAAAAATGCAAAGTGGAAACTCAATGCCCAGTTGGTATCTTGCTACTAATTAGCAACTCTACTTTAATGGAGCTAACTTATAGACTTGGGTCCTTCTTTTCTTGGTTTCTTAAAAAAAAAAAAAAAAAAAATTCTTCCCCAAGTGGATTGCCTAAAGGATATAACAAAATAAAGATGCTTACCCACCTATCAGATATAGGACTTCTATCTCTCATGTGGCTTGAATTTGTTAGTAGCTGACTGTCAACTGCATTGCTTTGCAGTTCCTGATTTTATCTGTTCCCCATATGTGTGATGTTTTTTCTAATTTTCCATTGCTCTTAGTGGTAACAATTGATATGGAGGAAACAGAACACGAACACATGGATTCACCAACTAGCAAGAATCGACGAGACGCAGCAGCTTCATTCTTTAAATTTAAGAGCAAGTTCAGAAAAGGTATTGAAGTTCTGTGTCTACTTTATCTTTGTTTATTACTCCAATTCGTTTTTGAGGAATATAGTGAATCAGTGAATGATATTAGTTCTTTTACCACTAATTTGGGTTGCAAATAATGTTTGGTCCTGTACAATGGTTAATGCTCCGGCATTTCTTAAGCTTGGATTCTTTGAATTCTCATGGTCTTCATTTTTTTTTTCAATTTCCAACTTCAGGTATTGACTACTCAAGCCTGGATTTTTTGGAATATTTTCGATTTTTCATTTCTTTCTCAATTATTAGTACGTAGATTACTGTAGCTGAACTCCTACTAGGGATGGCAATCAGGGCGGGGGTTGGGGCGGGGGCGGGGGGGGAATTTTTTCCCCCCGCTTAGAAACGGGGCGGGGGGGGGGGGGTATACCCCCGCCCCGCCACCCGCAAAACAAAAAATATATATATATAAATATATATATAAATGACTATATATTATATGTAAGTTAATTTATTATAAACTTATGATAATGATATTATTAGTTAGATGTATTATATAATGTATATTAGTTTATGTAATATAATTGATATTATCAATTATATGAATAATTATACATGTCTACTAATATAATTTATTAATTAGTTATACTAAATTTACTAATACATTTATACTAAATTTCTAATTACACTTAATAGAATAACACTTTTTTCTCAAAAAAAAGCACAAACACAATGATGAATTAGTGATTGCATTTGTACAAAAAGTGAAAATTTGACTATTTTAGTTATATTTATTTCATCATATTGGATTGTATTCAAATAACTTCTGTTTGATTGTTTTTATGAGTTTCAATTGTAAAATTACAATGAATAATAATTTGGTGATGTGTTGATATTTTAGTACTTGATTAGTTATTAAAATTTAATTATAATAAAATTTTATTAACCCCGCGGGGGAAGCGGGGCAAGGCGGGGCAGGGGCGGGGGGAGCGGGAGGCGGGGGATGGGGCGGGGGACGGGGGGAACTAATAGGCAACGGGGCGGGGGACGGGGGAGGGGTCCCCCGCCCCAACCCCGCCTCGTTGCCATCCCTAACTCCTACAAATTTATGTGAATGGGTTGCCCATTTTTTAGAAAATTTTTATATTATTTCTCAAACACTGTTGTCCAACCAAAATTTTACTTTTCCAACATATTATCTCTCTATAGTATGTCACTAAAATACGACACCATTATTCTTAAATAAGGTTTTCAAATATACTAAATTTCAATTTAAACGTAAGTCTTGTCGATGCTTACATGTCTGGTCTTTCTATTTGTTGCAGTAATAAGGGAGGTGTCCAAGATAAAGGAAAGGCACCTGCAAGCACTTGGAATTGTAGAGTTTGTCTGCGAGCAGTTAAAAAAGGAAGAAGATACCAATTCTGTTCAGGAATACTTCATCCCTGATAATCATACCCCAATCTTGCACTTAGCCATAGAGCAAGGAGCTTTTAAACTTGTAGAAGAGTGTTTAAATCATTTTCCTGATCTAATTTGGTATGCAAACAGAAAAGCCAAACTGTTGTTATTGCACGTGGCCGTCGAGCATCGCCAAGTGAAAATATTTAATCACATAATAGAGTTGATCGGAAATAATACAAAGGCCTTTGCCGAATTACAAGCTGATAAGGGAAATAATATCCTTCATTTGGCGGCAAAATTGGCTTCTACATCTCAAGTCGCTTCTGTGCCAGGTCCTGCATTTCAGATGCAGCTAGAATTCCAATGGTTCAAGGTACGTAATGCCATGTTGTAGTAATTCGATCTATTTTAAACCGTCTTTACAATACCTTGGATTAGTCTCCTTTGCATGCAAGTTTCTTGCTTAACCTGGCACGTATCATACTTCTAAATACTGCGTTTTGGATCTTTCTATCATACTTTTTCATATCACACCTACATTACACCATATTTTAGTGTGATAGTTGTCTGAATGAACCTAATGGCTACAGGATATAAACTAAAGAGGCAAGTGTCACCTTAAAATATATGGTGTAACAAAAACAAATGCCAGAACGCACAATAGTGCACCCAAAACTAAAGCCTTTTGTAGCGTCCTTAGTTTTCTCATTTTGTGTTATGACTTATTGGAACCTCAAAAAAAAATTTTATACCTAATTTTTAACAAATATACCTGTTTTACCCCTTAACCCTCAATTCTCTCTATCTAAAGAATAAAACAAATAATTTTTTTGAACTGTCTTTTGCTTAATTATATCAGGGCATTTTGGTTACTTTCTCCATTTACGTTAAGTTTAACGGATTCCGTTACATTTATAATTTAGTTCAAAATACGAGATGTCGTGTTGAATATTTTGAAATCACGGAGAACTTTTCTGTATATTAAATTTTCCACAGAGGACTTTTTTATTTTTTACCCCTACAAAGTATTTGCCCCAGTATTAGCAATTGGAGTGCACATAAAAACCTAGTATTAGCAATTGGAGTGCATATAGAAACCTAGACTAATCCTCAAATTAACTGCATGCAGGCCGTGGAAGCAATAGTCTATTACGAGTTAAGGATAAAAAAGAATGACGAAGGGAAAACTCCTCGAGAATTATTCTCTGATACCCATGAAAAGTTGCTAAAGAATGCAAAGGGATGGACGAAGGATTTATCAAACTCATGCATGGTGGTAGCTACTCTGGTCGCAACAGTTGCATTTGCTGCTATGATCACCGTACCCGGTGGCAATGATAGTGAGACGGGCATGCCAGTTCTGGCGAGGAAAAAACTTTTCTCAATATTTTCCATATCAAATGCATTATCCATGATATCCTCTGCAGTTTCTCTGCTTATGTTCCTTTCGATTCAAACATCGCGATACATAGAAGACGATTTTCTGGAGTCACTTCCCAAGATTTTGTTCAGAGGTCTAGTTTTCTTGTCTATTGCTGTAATTACAATGATGATATCTTTTGGCACAACAATTGGACTGTCACTTCAATCAAGGCAAAAGTGGGCTTACATTCCCATCACCATTGTGGCCTGTTTCCCTGCCGTCATCTTCTTCTGGTTGCACCTTCCTTTGCTTTTACGAACGGTCCTTTTCCATTCTCGACCAGGCATGTTTGGGGGCTACCATCTATTGGCAGATGACATGGCTTGACCTCCTTCCACGTCCACAATATGCTGCTCTACTTGATTTACTGTTGCGTGACTTTATCAAAAGTTGTTTGCATGAGATTTCTTTTTCCCATTTATGATTGAAATTTTAATTTCACCTTGTGAGTTTCTTGTTTACGAGCATATTTCTTGTTCAACGTCAATAAGCAAACTTAGTCCAATTTTTATTACTACCGAGTTGAGTCATGTCAGATGCTCTCCCAAAGCTTCTTTCCCTGCCTCTGATGTGGTCGCTTTCTGAAAGCGAGGACAAGCAGGCTAAGGCAGAGAGTCCAAGAGAACGCACTAACCGATATACTGCTTATCGCTTTAGTCGGATGCTTTCCCAAGGCATCCTTCACTTACTTTTTCAACCAGTCAGTCGGAAGCTTTTCCAAACCTTCCTTTCTGCCTTTCTAACTCATGTTTGTGATTACTTGATAATGGACATCTGCGACCACCGAGTTTTGAGTCAGTAGTCATAAAAAAAGAATTAAATTTCTCTTCGAATTGAAGGTCGGAGATTCCAACCTTACTTACAGTGAAAGCAATCCAAAGAGGGTATTAGAGTACCTCTGAAAAGATATATAGTCATGACATGGCCCTAAACTGACTAATTTAATGGGATTATCGCCCATGACGCCCGCTTAAATATAATAGATCCCACGGCCCTAAGGCCTAAAGTAATATCCCAATCTCAACCAAGTGCGTTATGTAGCAATACAGATAATATTTTATGCCTAGCTAAATAAGTTTTATAAGTTTACTTGATTATAAGTTATCACTAGAAAATGGGCCTTTTTTGGATGTACTATTGTACTTCATTAGCACTCCAATTAGCCCTCTTATCCCAAATAATCAATATATATTGGGACATTGCCGCCTCATTCACCAATCATCACATTTATCTGCGACTAATAGCAGACCTGCAATAGTTATAGTGGTTCCACATCTGAAAATTGAGGGATAACAAAAGCAGAGCAGCAGATGGGATTCTGGGACTTGATCAACTCAACAACTGAAGCCCTGAAGCGAAACGCACCCGCTCCAACGGCCGTCATAGATGCATGCAAAGCCTCCTACGGTTACAGCTCTGCCGTAGTTGGCAACATCGATAAGGCCGTCAGAGTCAACAGGATGCGGGCGCTCAATGACTACATGCCCAGCGAGAAAACCCGGTCAAGTATCGCCCTTTTCGCTTCCAAGTTCGCCCAAAATGCTGCTCGTCATGCTCTCCGGGAATTGATCCCTGGTGGAAAAACAGTGGCTAAAATTATTTCTGAGACAATGAATGATGTGAAATCTGAGAATCTCAGCAAACAAAAGAAGTGACCCAAGTTACTGGAGGTGGTGGCGGAGGGAAAGTCTCCGCTGATAAGGTATCAAGTTTCTAGCAACTTAAGCCTGGCAACTCACCTGGAGGACACAAAAGATCTTAATTCAATGTTTAGGAAATGCTCATTTGACTGTTTACCATTGAAGTGAATAGACTCAGTGCAAAACTGAGTAGATTAGCTATGCTTATACTATGATGAGGAACTCTAATCTCCTCAGTGGCCTAGTTCACTTTTGTAAAATCCAAGTTTGAGTCCTGGCTCATATAATGTAATGTCTTCTTCATTATTATAAATAAAATTTCTATCGTTTCTGAAAAAAAAAAAGAGTAGAAATGCAAAGCAGAGGTTTGGATATGGGGTCAGCTGACAAGGGAAACTTTGTGGAATCAAGTGCAAATCAGACGCCAGAAGATGTGCTTCGCATTTTCATGATGAAGGAGTTTATGGGCAGGCGTTTTGCTGATGACTTGGTACTTCCTGAGATTAAGCATGGCATCAAAACCAAGTAAATGGCTGCAATAAGGTCTTTGATCATTAAAAGTAAGGCTTTGCCCTTTCCTACTGATGGAGTAATATGCTTTTCTGATTTCTGTAGTCTACTCTGGTGTGTTTCAGCAATATGTAAATAGTACTATAAGTTTTTTCTTGAATCCAGCTCCTTCAAGCCCTTTTTCTGCGTCTTCCTAATGAACTTGTGAAGTTTCCGGAAATTATAAAAAGAAAAGAAAAAAGTTTGAAGGATAAAAAAAAAATATCTGCGACTAATATTTTCTACATCAATAAATATATTAATGGATTTGGATGAATATGACATATCTTAATTTTAATTTTAACAAAATATTTTGAACATGTAACATACGTCTAAATCCGTAAGTGTATCCATTAATTATTAATGTGTGAAAGATTTATTCTTTTATCTGAGCATTATTAGAATTGGCATATGAAATGGGAATAAAATATGAGAGACCTAGTAAAAGAGCAGCCAAAAAGAGAAAAAAAAAATAGGGAATTTGGTAGGCAAAGGTTGACAACGGCTCAATGAAATGAAAGGAGTACGTTGCTGGTTTCTTTCGAATTGGATGCCTTCCATACAATGGCCTGAGCCATTTCTGGATCGGGTCTACATCGAATCATATGCTTTCCAGATAGGAAGAGCTTATCGAACAGAAAAAAGAGTACATTTTATTGGACACAGGCCAAAGAAAGAGGAATAAATTAACTATGCATACATTGGCATATGACAATGATAGATTCGTTTCACATTGCTTTCATTGCAACATGATGCACAGTACTGTTCTTTGTCCCGGAGAGAATCAATTGGAGTCCATTCCTTATTTGTACAATGTGCTCAGAAAACAAGAGGCCGATGGGTTATTTATTTATTTATTTGTTTATCTTGAAAAAGAACCTAGGGTCGGTTCAATATTTATCAATTACCAGAAATCTAGAGGAACAGGATATTAAAATGATTCCTACAATTTCTTTATGAGCGTGTTATGAAATAAAGTGGTTATTGGAAGTGATTTTTTTTTTTAAAATTGTGTGTATTTCTCATTCTCATGTAACTTTTAATTTTTTAAAGTGAGAGACTAATAGAGGTCAAAACATAAATTCACTAGGAAGAAAAATTATCAAGGCAACATAAAACAGAAAACAAGTTGCTCTATGTTCTTTTAATCATTAAAGAAGAAAAATCTAGAGTATAAGAATAAATCTAGAAGTAAGTAATATCACTTATAGGATGAATCTTCTATACATTGTCAATATATATATATATATATATATATATATATATATATATATATATATATATATATATATATATATATATGCTATCACTGTTTTGTATATGACAATTAAATTTTGCATATGTATCACGCATGCATTCAATCATGATATTTTATATGAAAATAAGTGTTACTTATAAGATCATGGTGAAATTTAGATTAAAACGAATTTCCTATTCCCTTCACTTCTATACTTTTTACTTCTTCATTTGCTTTTTCTTTAACTGCTCGAAGTTCTATTTACTGCACTTTTGACAACATTTGCCATAAAAATTTTAAAGGAATTAAGTGAAGTATGGTATTACACTTAAGGAGATATATATATATATATATATATATATATATAGACACACACAAACATATACATATAAGTTTGACTTGTTTAAGGCCTAGTTGTTTGGTTTATTGCTTTTCGGATTTGTCAAGAATCCAACTAAATATTGTTCCTTCTCCTTTGGTGATTTCTGATCTCTAGCACAAAAGATACGATGCCCACTCACACAGCTACGCAGCTGTCCAACTGACACTTGCTTTTCGTGGCCGGCGCAAATTCGAACAAGTTATCAAATGGAATAAGATGTGCTTGTTATGGAATTTCCTTTGGCACAGCGTTGTGGTTTAGAATATCTATCTATATATACCAGTGACTTCACTACGTAAATTGCATCAAAAGGCTTCTTCGTGTATAAATAAATAGAGCAGCGATCGAGATATAGAGAGAGAGAGAGCAAGAGCAAGAGCAGAAAGAAAATAGCCATGTCCAGCGTGAAGACCCTGGATAGAGCCTTTAAAGTCGATCGAGCTATTAATAATGCATCCAAAAACTTCGTAATCATCAGATTTTTTGATCGAGGTTACCCGGATTCCGGGAAGGTACATCATCTCCGGCACCCTCTATATCTATAAGCGGTTGGCTGCAACACAACATAATTGTTTTAATGAATTTTTTCAATGGGTGTCCATTAAATACTCATTAGCACATCTAGATTACACTTAAATTGCTATATGAATATACATAAGTACGATTATTATGCCCTCTGCATTTAGATACTTTTCTAAATTAATTACATTTTTTTCAAAAACAAAATATTTACTTGAAACCCTTCTTAATGAGTGTCGCAATTTTTTTTTTTTTTTTCACTTTATGTTTCAGAAAGGAAAAGTAACTTTTTTCTGGTAAGCTTTATGTAAGCAAAAGTATGATTTTTATTTTTATTTTTTTGTTTCAAGAAATTTGTATTGTAACCTTGCAATTAAAGCCACGATTTGATTCTCGAATTTCGAAGAAGTTGACGAAGTTAAACAGGCCATAGTTGTGCTCTCGAATCTGCAGTGTTGATCCAAATGAATTTTGAGAGATTTATCAACTATTTTGGTGTTTTAAATATACTCATCCAAAAGAAATTTTTACGTTTCAATGTTTAGAAGATTTTTTATTTAAAATATTCTCGTTAAAGGAAACTATTGTTTCTAGCATTATATCATAAAATTACTTTTTCGCTCATGGAAATAAAACTTAGCAAATATTCGTTGCACCAGAGAATGACAAATCAAACCCTAAAAAATGGTTATGTATTTGTGCCCCTAACCACCTGTCATCTTGTTGTCTATTTGCAGGTCACTGACTGGGTAGCATATTATTCCAGGATCCTAAGCTTCTTCTCAGACATATACGAGGTGGAAAAGAAAGATGTACCTGAACATGTAGCTCGCTATAGCTTGACCGATCAAGACACGATATTATTCTTCTACAAGGGAAGTGCAGTATATCGTCTCTCTGAAGCCGACATTTCGGCAACAATGAGCTCTAAGGATTTCTTCGACACTACGTTTGAGATCATGAGTAAGGTGCTTCAGCCGAGGAGGTGAAGGGCCGAGGG